TTTATTGAGTGACGAATGTGTTAAAGTAAACTAGCTTTTTCATGTGATTTTAATTTTAAGTTCATTGTTAATATTTAGAGTGTACAGCGTTTATATAAAAAAAAAAACTTGTATCCAAGCATTAAAGTCTTCAAGTGTGATTTAGTTTATAAGCAGATTGTATCATAGTCAACAGGATTTCTAAATAGTGTATAATTAATTTCTACATGGTATTTGTACATATTGAATAAATCATTTACGTCGTTAAAATTTGTAACTACAAATGTCATTTAACGAAAATTATTCACTTGATTTTATGGTTAAATAAAATTACATTTCGTATTTTGTACACAAATAAACTTGGATTTTCTGTTTATCCCATATAAATGACCCATATCATACGATAATTTTATTAATAAGTTTTTTTATTTAACCTTGCATTTATGGGTATCTTTTTTTATTCTAGCTAAACTTAGGTGTAAGAAATTATTAAAAAATGATTAAAAAATATAAAGTTCTAATACTTAATTAAATATCATAGCTGATTGAAATTAAAGGCATATTAAACAATTACGATTATATATTTTATCATAAATGCACAGATTACAATAGGTATGTGTAAAATGATTGTTTTTCTTGACGTCTCAGAATTTTCACCTTTTGTAAGCAGAAATAAAAAAAAAAGAGAGAAATTAGGTTCGAAAGAACGCAAATAGTAAATCAGGACACTGGTTTTTAACAGAAATGTAAAAATAAAAACAAAAAATATGTACACGAGAGCAAGTGACCCCACGTCCTACTCACCTCACTTACCTCACTTACCTGTAGGTACGGATTAGTGAGCTACTACAAACGTAGCAAACTATTCAAACCGAGTCCGTCCACGTGGATGACTGTAGACTTACGTCATGAGCCAGTGTGTACACATCTCTGAATAACTTCTGTCAATTTGGTCTATATAAACTAACCAGACACTTTTTTCGCCACATGCGGGAGCGAATCATGCCGCCACGCGGTCGGAGATTAAGTCAGCATTTTCAATGCTGCAGTGTCCATTCGTTGTCGATAATCAGACTTTGGAGAGCCTGTACATGCCAACAGATGGTCAGGTGCAGTGTGGAGGATGCGGGAGCTCCTCCTGATTGGCTCTGCCATATTCAGGATCAACATGTACACAATCTTAATCAAACAATTAAACTAGCTCGGAATCTCACGTCTGTGTGAGCTTCGTGTGTTGAATACTTTTATTACTTACTTGAATATGAGTGACAGAGAGACTGTCGACCAGTATTGTACATTGTGGCAGAAAATTAGCCGCGAAATTCAAAATTACAAAAAAGTGAAAAAAAGTAATATTAAAAAAAAATTTAATTTAGGCATGAAAAAATCATAATAAACTAGAATAATCACAATTACAGTGATAAAATAATTTTTAAGCCATTATTTAAGCAATAAATGGCAATTTAATGTTACCTCAGGTAAACGAATATTTTCCCAATATTTCAATAAGCTCTGGCCTTGCAAAGTTATAATAAGTTTTTAAAATCATTATTGATCATCATGGTGATAAAAGGTATGATTTATTTATTAATAAATTAATGTTATATTGCAAGATTTCATGCTCATACAAAACATGTACTGGAGTATATCTATATGTATGTGATACATCAATTTTGCTGCTCGAAAGTTGGCAGCATCTCGCAAGCCAGCAGACAGCTGAAGTAGGGCAGTGGAAAACACGCTTTACGTTTATTTACATTTTTGGCAAGTGTTGCGGTATTAAAACCGAATCTTTTGACTTTTACTCATTTATATTAAATATAATATGAGAATAAAAACTAATTAGTTTCATACGGTCATCGAAGAGTTAGTGCCTAGTATACTCGATGCTTGACAGGGTTAATATGGATTAACCTATAGTATGTCAGATAAGTAAAAACATTGCTTTACACAATAAACATTATATCCTCTTAAAAGACAAGTCATCTTTTTATTTTAAGATCTATTTACTTTGTTCAAAATTATCATTTCAGGTGTAATGTGCAACAGTACCTTCCACATCAACTGCAGTTCTCTCAAGGAAGTGCTCAAGTACGGCTACTGTTTGCGCTGAAATTGTGGATTTAGTTGTTCAATTAAAAAGTAAATTTCATCCAAGCAAGAATTGAAGAATGCTCAATACCAGAAAATCTAAAATGTCACCTAATGAAGGATAATTGCAGCTTCTTAATCAATCAAGAGCTGATTGAAAAAGAAACAACATCATCAGTAAAGCTAGTTCTAAATACTCTTTTTATGAGCAAAAGTGCAATGGATATTAAGGCTGTTAAATAAATTGCTCTAGCTTTTATGCACCTACAAATTCTTATTTTTTCCATCCACTTAGGCCTCAAATGTTGATAGTGACTTTTACTACTGTATACTACAACTCAGGATTAAGTTTATTTAGAGGATCAACTTTATCGGAGGGACAGAGCATGTTAACCATCTGGAGATGCAAGATGTCATCTGTCGAAGAGTATTGGCAACTTCTGGACTGATTCTAATGAATCGTAAGTTGATTGGAAAAGAAGTATCACTTATGAAACTGTTACTTTTTCCCTCAATCCTGCATTAGTAATGTTCAGTGGAATGGATTATAAAGTGTTTTTGTAAACAAACAACCAGGCCGGATAAATACCTTATTTTTCTTTTAATTTGGACACTTTTCAATTATTAACTGATTTATCTGTCATTATACCAAAAAATGCTCATTTCGTTTACCCACTTAGGCCTCAAATGTTGATGATGACTTCGACTTCAGTATACTAGCACTCAGGATTAAGTTTATTAAGAGGATCAACTTTATCGGAAGGACTGGAACTGCTAACCACTTGGAAATGCAAGATGTCATCTGTCGAAGAGTATTGGCAACTTCTGGACTGATCCTAATGAATCATTAGTTGAATGGAGAAGAAAAATCTATGAAATTGTGACTTTTTTTCTTAATTCTGCATCAAAGTATTTTTGAGTGGGATGAATTATAAAGTGTTTTTAGAAACAAGCAAGCAGTCTGGATCAATCTTTGATTTTTTTTTTAATTTAGACAGTTTTAAATTATCAACTGATTCATCTTCGTCATTATAATTATGAATGCTCATTTTTGTATCCATTGAGGCCTTCAACAAGGATCGTGACTTCTACTTAATTTCTGAATTCAGTTAATTCAGAGGATCAATTTTATCGGAGTGACCAGGATGTTTACCCACTTGGAGATGCAAGATATCATCTGTCGAAGATTAATGACAACTTCTAGAGTCATCCTAATGAATAATAAATTTAATGGAGAAGAACCAACACCATCTATGAAATTATGACTTGGTTTTTTCGAAATATGCATCAAAGCATTTATTAGTGGGACGGATTAAAACTTGCTCTTTACTTAAGCTTAAGTGCAATTAATAATAAGCTTATTAGTTTTTTGCACTAGCTGTTGTACTGAATATCAACCAAATCTAAAAGTTCTACATTAAGTTAGAAGTTTTCTTAAACTTTAAGTCAGGCTATAAATATCTTTGGGCCATTTTGAAATGTAGTGATATTCTTAATTGTTGACTGATAAATCTCTGCAATTACAACTAGAAATGCTCTTTTTTTTCCTCAACCACTTGAGCCTTGAATGTGGTTTGTGATTTCTTGTAAATACTAAAATTCTGCATTCAATTTATTCAGAGAATCAATTTCATCAGAGTGACAGGGTCTTCTAAATAACCTGACAATTTAAGATGTCACCTGTGGATGAATAAATAATGCTTCTAGCTTCTAGACTCATTTTAGTTCATCAAGAGCTGGATGCAGATGAAAATAATCAATTATAAAATTGTGACAATTTTTTTCCACAATTCAGCCTTAAAGTATTTTAAAGTGAAATAAACTTAAAAATTTTTTTTTTATTCTTGAGAAAAATAACAATGAATAATAAGTTCTTAGTTGTACTAGTTTTTATTTTGAACAGCAATCAAATCAAAAACATTTACAACAAGTTTAAAATGTTCATAAACAATTAGGCTGGCTAGAGACATTTTTTGCTTCTTTTTGAATGGATATTGAATAAGTTATTTTTTATCAATGGCTGACTAATCTCTAATATTAGAACTAGTTCTGCTTCTAGTTACAACTAATTAGAACTAATTATTTTTTCAATTAATTTCATTCTGAAATTTGATTTATGACTTTTAGTTCATATGAATGGTCTGGATTCAAGGTATCCATTTCATCGGAATAAGTGAGAAAGAGATCAGAGAGACTGCTTAATACTTCGAGATGCAAGATGTCATCAAGCATAGAACATTTGCCTTTATAATATTTAGGATCCTGTGATCTTCTATTATTTTACAGGAATACTTAGAGCTTTTTATATTAGTTGAATCTTCTAGCTTTGAACTTAATTTGTGGTCGATGTCATTGCTTTTTTTGCAATACACTGAAGCTTGGGTCGGCAAGCGCTAGAGTTGAAGAGCTCTGCTCTCTTTTAGCGTAAAAAAAAATAATTTCATTTTCAGAAAATAAGCGCAGACAGTCAGAAGCTTAATTATATTTCAGTTATAAATCATAATTAAATTAATTTTAATTAATGGTTGGTCGAGNCGTAAGAGTGTTGCTATGCGTGATTGTCTTCGGCGGAGCGCGAGTGTGTAAGTTAGTCTTCATCAGACTTCGTAAACCGTCATAGCCTTCGTGAGAAACCTGAAGTTGGTATTTTTTTCGTTTAACTAAATGAGATGTGTTTTTCTTTGTCGAAGCCAAATTTACTGTGATTCTTTTCGTACGAGCCGTCGATATCTATAAATTATGATTAATGTAAACTGTCAGTTTTGGATTTTGGGGAAAAACAAAAATTTATCAAATACTATGTTATATATTCAATACTAACACTATACAGACACAGTGTCCGTATGTAAATTTATTATTATTTTAATGTCTGACCATTTGGGCTCATTACTCAGTTCATCAAAAATAAGTTCAAATTTGATTAATTTTAGGTGCAATGGTAGCATCTTTAGATTCCAACCATGGGAGGTATTTTAGTGCTGTAAGCAGTCACACATCTGGAGAGGAGCTGTCCCACGATTTGTCTGTTAACTTGCTGAAAGCTATTAAACAGTTTAAAGAAGTTAACAATACGCTACCCAAAAGAATTGTCATCTATAGAGATGGTGTTGGGGATGGACAAACCCACTATGTTGTGAGAAACGAAGTTGCTGAAGTCAAGGCTAAACTTCAGTCAATTTATGAGAATCCAGACGATCTGAAATTGGCCTACATCATTGTAACAAAAAAAATTAATACGCGGCTATTTTACAATGAACAAAATCCGAAGCCTGGAACAGTAGTGGATGATGTAATAACCGACCCTTCAAAGTATGATTTCTTTATAGTAGCTCAACAAGTCAATCAAGGTACCGTTACACCTACAGCTTACAACGTCATTGAAGATTCGTTAGGTCTGGAAGTTGATAAAATTCAAAGATTGACGTATAAACTTTGTCATATGTATTTTAACTGGAGTGGCACTGTACGAGTACCTGCACCATGTCAATATGCTCATAAATTGGCTTTTTTGGTGTCTCAAGCTGTTCACCAACAACCTAGTACCTACCTTGAAACTCTTTTATATTTCTTGTAACTGATGCTTATTGGTTGATCTCCATTTTTTCATTCATTATTATCATTAGATTACTTTTAAAACATGCTTCATTTATTTTTTGTGGCTCTCAATATGTTTTTGAGCGTATATGTTAGCTTGTAATTTGTTACGTGAGATTTCTATCACAAATTATTTAAACTTTGGGGTAAGATTGTCAAAGTATCCACTGATGTGGCCTTTTTTTTATATCAATTAGTCTAAACAGTTTTCTTTTGTTCCATGATGTTTTTTTTATTTATTTATTTCATTTTATTATTATTTTTTTTAATAACGTATTTAACATTCATGCCTACGCATTCTACATTTTTATTTCTAAGTAATCATAATTCCATAGTAGTAAAAAAGCTTTCTGATGAACCTGTACCATACCATTGCATAACATGTTTATACAACAAATAACTGTTGAAAAACACGGATGACTAATTAAATTCAACGAGCCAACTTTTTCTGATAGAGTATGGGTTATGGCGATGCTAATTTTTTTTCTTTGGCAATCACAAAATTGTTCTCTTATGTAGTCATGTCTATTAAGTATTTTTTTTTAATAAAATTTATAAAAACTAAAAATGGTGTAACATTTGTACGAAAAAAAATATGTATATTGAATTTGAAGTCAAATAAATTTTT